TATATATATATATATATATATATATATATTGCAGAGTTTGTGTATCGAATTCCATGATTGAATTCAACTTTTCTTCTTCTCCTGCTTAATTTCTTTGGTGCGTGCGTGCTTGCAAGTGTTCATTGCCGATACAACAGACATTCATCATTGATCATTCTTGTAAAAGAACATATTGAACTTATGGACTTGTGTTCTTCGAATATTATTCAATTTAATTAAATTCTTCTCTTGTTTTCTGCTCCTCCATTGGTTTACAAGCCTTAACCTGGCACGCTGGGATAAGATAATTAAAGCGATACCCACCTCCTTCAGCTTTCTTTTTTATTTTTTAATAATTTTCAAAACTTAATATCCTTTATCATCTTCTAATTTACCTTTTCGATTTCATTCATCCAAAAACAGGTGGAAATCTTGGATAATAAATTTAGAGGAGATTACGCGTTAAGGACATCTGTTAAAGAAAGAAAAAAAGAACTTTATGTCATTTTTTTTAATTAGAATTTAGTATTAATGAATGAAAATTAACAATAACTTATAATATGAATGTTAATTTTGATTGAAGAATGATATAATAAATATTTATTTTATTTAAAAAAAATTTAAATATAAAATACTTGATCAAGAGAATAGCATTTAATACATTAGAATTTTCTTTTTTAATTTTCATTTAATATTTGATGGGAAATACTCTACTGCTTTTTTAGATCATTTTTGTTGGTTTTTTTCTCTACCAAAAAGTTTCTCGAAAAATATCTTAAAACATTTGCCAATTAAAGTTTAATACATGAATGAAGGATAATTCATTAATCTTATAATTAACTTTGAATTAGAAAGTATGTATAGTTGGATGTATAAACTAACTAAAATTTATAACTTTATTATATTTCCCGAAAGGCTTAGCTCTATAAATAGTTATTCGTTAATATGATATTAAAATATTTAATTATTTATTATTGAGTAAGATTATTAATTTAAATAATTTTTAATCTGTCCCTAGCTACTTCTGATTACACGAGGTATAAATAATAAATATGCCTTATTAAATATTTTAAATTATGATGAAAAAAACATTTAATGATTTTATATTTTATAATTATATAATAAATATTTTAAAATTTTGTTTCTATTTTTGTCTTTAATTATCACGTGTTTATATAAAAAAGTTGGATGTACCAAAAGGAAATATTCAAACGTTATAGGAAGTTCCTTTATTTAACCATAATCATCCCTATTTCTTTTTAAATGAAGTCCAATTGTTATTGAATGTCTACGGATATATAATAAAAAAATTTAAAAAAAAATACTTTATTAAACTAAAAATATATAAATATTTAACATTTACCTTTTAAGTAATTTAAAATATTTATTAAAATATATTTCATATTATTACATGTTAATTAAAAAAGTCTAACTCAGATGGTTAAGTAAAATATGAGTATTATAAAGTTCTTTAGTATACTATTCCATTCCATGATTAAAAGAAAATACTATATACATGATCTATGAAATAAAAAGCTTCAACTTAACTCAAATTTAACGTCTAACCATATTTTAAACAGAATTATTTCTAATAAAGTAAATAGAAAAAAAACTCAAAATAAATTTATAAATAATCTACAATTCATTTCCCAAAATGTGCTTTCCCAAGTAAACTTAAGCTTTCAAAATAATTAAGTGGTTCGTCATGCTTTTCATCATATATCACTTTGTATAATAATTACTATCCGATGCTCCTATATTAATTATATAGCTCATTATTTTGAGTTTGGCAAGGGGTCCAGAAGCTTTCTTTTTTGTACACTGTATTGCACTCAACACTTAATTTGAGTGAGCTGTCGAATTTTTCTTATGATTATGTTTAAATGTCTTTAATGAGTGAATTATGTCCACTCTAGCTATATAGATGCAGTAGACTCAGTCAAATATATTGACATTGACTGACAAAGGAACTTCAATAATATTGATATAAAATGGTTCTCTTGCTATATAGTTTACTTATTTAATTTAGGTGGTAATATAATTAAAAATGCTTTTAATATTAGTTCTTTATATTAATTTTAGATCGGTTGTTTGAGAAATAAAAAAATAGATATTTTTTAAAAATTGATTCTATATATAATTTTATATTAGTTACGACCACATCGAATTTTATAATTTTTTATATCAGATATGAGTATACACCGATATGGAAAGTCTGTTTAAAAAAATGCTACAACTGCATTATATTCTTAATTAATGTATAATATATTATCTTTTTATAAATTAATATATAATATTCTGATTCAAATTTACGAAAACTTAATTAGAAACAGTTACAGAAAAAATAAAACACTCGAAAAACATTTCATTATTATATATACACTATTTCATACATGAAAAATATAAGTGTAATTTTTCTATTATATATAATGACTAAATCAGAAAACACTATGTTGACAATTTTCCTGTTACAAAGCTAATTTCATATCTCATTGTACATGAAGAAATTCGAATTCTCGCAAAATCAAATAAAAACAAAAAAGAATAACCAAATTCCTCACATTTATCTTATGTTAAAAAAATATATTTTTTTAGAAATATTTTTTGAAGCACCGATTTGTTTTTGTTAACTTTGTCAAAAGTATTTTTTAGAAGGTAAGAAAAACAAATAAGTGTTCCAGAATCTACTTTATGAAAAAGTAATTATAAATATGTTTGTTTAGACTTTTTTTTTTATTAAAAAAACACTTTCTTTTAATAAAATAAGCATTTTTTTTTAGTTTTATGTTAAATTTCTTTTTTAAAAATAATCAATTTTTTGTGTCTTAAAGAATTGTTTCTTTTTGAAGCACTTATTATAAACACTTACTTTTAAGTTTAAACAAACAAATCTTATATTATCAATGATTGCTTAAAAAGTGGATTAATCCAACTTTACTTACTTGAATGAACTTTAAAAAGTGAACTTGAATTGGACTATCACAAGTTAATGAATTAAATTGAGTTAATTCACTTAATTAAAAAAAACTTATAATATTGTATCTTATAATTACAACTGTGTTAATAATAAGACAATAAAAAATATTATAAAAAAATGTTGTGGGTTGCATCAATTGTCCCGTGGCGGAGGCTAGGTGGGCCAAGTCACTGTCGAATCATGGCGCTTGGGCTGCTGCGCTCTTAAGTAAAAAGAGTTGCGCCCTGACTAAAAGCTATAGCTTTTGGCCTAGTGGTAAGCGCTCGATCCAACAATTGGTATCAGAGCCAAGGTCATGAGTTCGATACCCAGCGGGGCAATTGCTGAGGGGGAGATTGTTGCGGGTTGCATCAATCGTCCCGTGGCGGAGGCTAGGTGGGCCAAGTCACTGTCGAATCATGACGCTTGGGCTGCTGCGCCCTTAAGTAAAAAGAGTTGCGCCCTGACTAAAAGCTATAGCTTTTGGCCTAGTGGTAAGCGCTCGATCCAACAAAAAAGCAGGCATCAATTTCAACTAATTAATCAACTTACTAAAACAAGTTTTCTACATTAGTTGCATAACCAATGTAGATCACACTTATCTTAAAATGATGACATTTAACATCAATTAAATTTTAACCGATGTAGAAATATATGAAAAAATATATATATTATGTTCATCACCTCATTATGCAACCTCCTTGCCCACCCCTTCCTTCCATCATATCACATCACCTCCTCATGTCTAGATATAAAATTGTTCACCCACAAAGCTATCATTATCCTGTTATGTCACCTCCTCACATCTAGATCTGAAATCCACTTATAGTGTTAATCCCTCAATCATACCAACAACAAGCCTTAACCAACATCCAAGAGAGAACACCTATCTAGAGAAGAACAAAGAGAGTAATGCACCATGGCAATGATGAGAAAAAAAGAAAGAAGAGTGCATTGGTAGTTATCTTTTAAAATCAATTATTTTTAACTGATTTAGTATATTAAATTCAAAATCACTTAAATTTTTAACTAGTATACTAAATCAATTTTCATTTAACCAATTTTAAAAATGTTGACATAATTTCAAAATGTCAATGCTTCATCTATTAAATAAGTTACAACATAATTGGTTTAATAGTCTGACATGGTAGGGTCTAGGGTTTTTTTTTGCCTGACTCTTTGGAGTTAAGAATACTGGTTTTTAAGAATGAGTGATTACCTTTCTCTGACCCTTATTGTCCAACGTGAGAGCGGATAGCTAATTTATTCCACTATTTGAATAGGGTTCTATGGTCAGTCTGTGACCCTTGGATGTCGAAGGCATCCTTGGGGTGATCTTGTAGTTCCTACGAGACGGAGGCGATGGGGTCAGACGTCCATGGATTCTTTTTTCTCTTTCTGCATCTCGCTCAAAGGGTTGAAGGAAGATAGTGCATCAAGCTGTTCACAAGGGCCAGCTTGATCCTCTTCCCCATGATCCCAAATGAGGAAACCCTAGGAGACCAACTCCAACGTACCGTCCATGTACGATCCATACTAGATCTGACCAATTGTCTATCCTACCTCCTCTACGTTCTTAAT